GACAAAACAAATTTAATTATTAAATTGAAGTAAAAGGTAAAGTCGGAAAGGGATACCCTGGGCGAAAGTTTTTGGACCAAATTGGCGATATATTGAAAATGGGCCAAAATAATCCTTAAGTATCCGGTAAGGGGGAGATCCACCCTTTCAGTAATCGGGGCTTTACTCGTAATTCTTCGATAGACATTGTCTTAGCATTGAATGAACGAATTAGTACATTTATTAATGAATTCTATATCTATCGTACAGAATTCCTTTTAATAATGGAGTGTTACCTACCTGTATCCGCCTCAATAGGGCAGCTGTGGGTTCTGTCGGACTCGCACTGACTAAAGTAAATGTATTTCATCTTCGCAGCATGAAAAAGCGCTACGCAAACACTTCATATCCCACCAGGCCCGGTCGCCTCTTCACGTCTCCTACTCTGGGGAGAAGAAAACCTTTCCATTCTTAACGCCCAGCAAAGCTAGATCGCTTATGTACTATTGGTATTTGTGTACCATGATTAAAACTACTTTTACGGATTTTATCGCGTTTATTTTTACTTACAGTAAAAATAAACGCGATAAAATCCGTAAAAGTAGTTTTAATCATGTGCAATGTTCGCGTAAATATAAGAAATCATTATTTGTGTACCATTTTATAATTTCAATCAATTTTTTTTAATTTTATGATTTATAACCAATTTCAATTACATTATGACAAAATGGTTACAAAACTTGTATTCTTATTAAAATAGCACAAAGTTCTATATTATAAAAACATTCACTTACAGGCTGGTGTTAGGAGGCTTCCACCCTAACTCTACTTATAAGGTGAAAAATACTTACTTATAAGGTAAAAATTTAGTAATTTTTATTTATTAGTAGACATATGTAATAATACATTGAATTCATTTTAATTTTTGGCGTCGGTCATGTTTACACATCATGTCTACACGCGAAAGAATAAGGATGTGCCTTTCAAAAAACATCCGATTCGGCATTTCCGGTCGAAACGCCGTCACTGCCGGCACCATGTATATGGTTGTCTTTATTAAAAGGACATAAGAAAAGGCATGAGGAAGAAATAGGTACTTACACATTTTTACCAGTAGGTTAATTCGTATGCTAAAGGTAATACTGTAATTTCAACACAAGAAAGTAACTTATCAGTCTGTATCTAATACTTAATACATGTCTATAAAATATATTATTAATGATTGAGGTATTCAATGCGTTTAGTATTAATCAAGTTTAATTTTTTTATCCTATTCTGGATACCAGAAACTCGAATGAATCGAAAAAATCTTGAAAATGTGTTATTTTATCGGAATTTTTATTCATTATCACGAACAAGACCTAAGTACTCGTTAAAAGGGCAGACTAAAAAGGTTTCTTGAATCGATGCAAATTTTCGTTTATATATCTGACATTATTCTTGTATTTATTTATTATTTGTAAATCTTTTTTAAGAGAAAAAAATCAAAAAGGTTTATTTCTCATGAAAGAAACTTTTTGATTTTTTTCTCTTAATAATCATGACCCTGATTAATTATGACATAACGGCGTTAATTAACCTCATTTTCCATGTAAATGAGAAAAACGTGTCGTATTATCGTCGGTGGTAAGTAGTGGTTTTGAGAGTAGTGGTGGTAGAATATTATTATATGAATGAGTAGTGGTGACGGGGATAGTGCACGCAATTGAGGCAGGGTGGAAGGTGCTCTTCAAACTAGGTGAGACACATGATTTTATTTAATTAAGCGTATGTAAGCATAGTATTTTTTACCAAGTTTAATATAATGGATTTAGGCAAATTAATGTCTGATTCTGTTAATGAACCGATTGTAATATAACTTAACGAACAGATTGGTGGCGTAAATAACGTCACGTCAATAGACCGTACCCAAGCGAAGCCAGGGTTACTGGTTACAAATAAAGCTCGTATAAATATATCACATATAAAATTTAAAATATATTGCTATAGTAACCAATCTACTAGTTTTATAAGGAAGTTTTACAGGCGAAGCTTTGAATTGAAGTTACAGTCTGTATACTTTCCACAGCTGGTTACAGGAGTCCTCTTATTTCTGACAAGGTTTTCAAGGCTCCACCGCACTATCTAACGCTTGTTTGCAACTTAACGTGTCCGCGAAATGCTTTTTTAATTACTCAGGCAGGTTTCCTCTGGACATTTTTCTTCACTACCAAGCACTTGGTAAATTTGAACTTAAAATTACACCCTATAATTTAGTTGGTGCCGACGGACGAATGAAATTGTAGATTCTGTTGATTGAACCCACGCGGCTTGGTTGCTGTAAAATTTAAGACCAAAGCTTAGCCTCTGAGCTACAATGGTTTTCACGAGAAACTTTTCCTACATTTAAAATATCTAACATTTCATCATTCTCTAAACCATTTCCCATTATCTGGGGTCGGCGCAGTAAATCTTCTTGTTCCATTCCTCTCTATCAGCCGTCATTTCCATACTTACTCCTTTCATTCTCATATCACTCTTCACACAATCGATCCATCTTTTATTCGGCCTTCCTCTGCCCGTGTGTCCCTCCACATAAAAAATATCTAACATTTAAAATAGCTAAAAACATATCGAGGTTGTGAATATATAAAAATATTATTCCACTGTTTGAAAAGGATATCTACTCGTATGTACTCGTATGTGACGTTTATTGCTTTAGTAATCTTTTTTCTATCTGCATAGCTCGAGGACAAATAGGTTTATGCACGCAAAAATAATTATATTCGATACGTAATTACGCAATGAAATTCGAATATATTGAATTGTGAAACAATTTTGAAACCATTCCAAATGACATATTTTTTATCATTCATGTGTTTGTAATACAACATACTTTGATAATAATTGAATATGAATAATACTTTTATAAAGTTTAAGATAAGAAATAACTCGCACAGAAGGTCAGCGTAACATAGCAGGAAACGCTGATGTATTTTGTTTGGTTACTGACAAGAACGATAAGACGGCGATAGTTTAATGGTATTAGGTAATCCATTTTAAACCTCAGGGGGGATGTCACATCAGTATTTTGATTCCTAATCGAGGATATATGTAGATATCTATACGCCATAGCTGCCACTTCTCATCAGGTGGAACACCTGACATATATATACATATACACCCTTATTTCCATAAATACGTTAATACTAATTTGGAGACAGATTAATATGGAATTTTACTCACAAACATAAGTATGCCGGTCGGTAAGTACAGACCAATACCTTCGCAATAATAATACGGATGTCCGTTTCCGTTAGGGCCAACATTTTTGAATATATTTTCATCAGATCATTTCGAAATAACTAAGAAAATAATAAAAATTAGTAGCATTCGAAAATATAATATCAAATGAAAAACGTAATAAATACACAAAGACTCGAAAGATCTCTTGTATATCATTAGGCTGCACCGTGCAATAGATTGATATTCGGAAAAAAAGTTGACCTATTCCCCTTCCAATTACACTCCTTATCTAAAACTAAAAAATCTTACATTAGTCTTAGATCTTACAGAGTCACCGGATGAAGTCAAATAAGACAAGATCTGTTACACTGAATTTATAGCTTTGCGAGAAGTTTTAACATACATGATACAAGAAAACAGTGTTGCCAACTTCGGCCCAGATTTCCGGAACAAGCCGCAAGTTCTTGAACAAACTTCCGTTTTTTGTGCTTTGATCGTCTCGGTTTTTTGTACTTTCCGTTTGGCTGTACACTTTTCACAGGAAAGTTTTAAACATAAATTAAGCGTTTTATATATTGTAGTTAAATAAAAAATATGAACAAAATGTGCAGTAAGATTAATCGACGATTCGCTTACAGTGGAAATTTTATAGCGCAAAACTAAAGCCAAGCTGAGTGAGTCCAAAAAATGATGGCGGCAATGTGCACGAAGAGCCGATCATTATCATAATTACTGCCACTGTTAAACGTAGGTCTCTCTAAGGAATGCTACAAAGCATGATCCTGAGTCACCTGCATGCATCGAATTCCTACATTTCTTACCAGGTTGTCATTTCAGTTTCAGTTCAGTTCAGTTTCAGTGAGGCTGTCACACTCGTCGAGATATATGGCCGACCTATTGCAACTTCCGTTAACTCATCCGTTGGACTTTGTTGGTAGATCCGAAGTTGTTGTAAATTAACCTGTAGCGAATTACGCTAAGGTATGAAGATAAATTTATACATGAAAATTATTCATTCATTTCATTTGGATTTAGAAATAAATGTGCAGTCGTCTCGTACTTTTGACTCTACGACCTTTCGCGAAGATCCTTAGACTTAAGTATTTCTGGCCTTTGCAATGGTCGCCTCGTGTAACACATGACGAACTGAAGATCATCTAAGGCAGCGGTACTCTAAGTGTGTTTCGCGGAACCCTAGGGTTCCGCGATACCCCTGTAGGGGTTCCGCAAGAATTTAGAAAAAAAATCAAAACAATTCTCTCTGGTCACTGGTTGAACGTTTTGACTCCGCACGCCGCGCGTATACTTGTGAGCGCGCAGTCCCTTTGATAAAAGCCGCCTCTGAATTAGACGCTATAGTTGTGAACAAGCAACTTTCGGCTCTATCTTCAAAAACATAAAGTCGAGATTGTTTGCAACGCATTTTTTTGTATTTCTTTGTTTATTTCCGCTTTTTGTTTATCAAAGGTGCCGACTCGAGTATTTTTGAGAATGTTGGAGTTCGAGTCTAGGACTAATTATAAAAGCAGCGATCGCGCGTCGCGCCTCGTCAGTCAGTTGACGATTAGCGTTCGGAGCGATAAGTTCCTACCTACCTACTTACACGCTGGCTAGCGAATTGCGGAGTTTAAACGTGATATGAAACTAGTGTTCATTTTTCTACTGCCTGCTGTATTCTGATTGTATCAGTTTTGTACATTTCTTCTTTGAACTAAACTTTGTCTCATAAAAGCAGTAACGATTGTGCATTATTTTGACTCCACCATCCTGACGTGTAACATTATTAATAAAGAAGAATGGAACGTTGGCTTAAAGGCGTTAAGCGTGTTGCAACAACATCTTCTAATGACGCTGAATGTTCAAAATCAGTACACGCGGAAAATACAGCAATTACCGATCCAGACGATGATGCCACAACGTCAATCTCCACGGTTTCAAAGACGAAAAAAAGGAAGTATGATGAATCATTTATCACTTTCGGATTTGTTGATTCCAACGGCTCACCTCTCTGCATGTTATGTAGTAAACTACTTCCTAATAGTTCCATGGCACCTGCCAAATTGCGCAGACATTTAGAAACTGTGCACCCCGAGTCTAAAGACAACAATAAAGAATTTTTTGTTCGTAAAAAAGAACAGTTATTGGAAAGTCCAAATAATATGATGCATGTAAAACAAACTATCAATGAAAAGGCCACGGAGGCATCATATTTAGTTAGCTATCGCATTGCACAAGCAGGTGAAGCGCACACTATCGCTGAGAATTTAATAAATCCATGTGTGTTAGACATAACAAAATGTATGCTCGATGAAAAATCTGCAAAGCATCTTTCTACTGTACCGCTATCAAACGATACCATTTCACGTCGAATCTATGATCACGGCTACAAAAAACAAGAGTCGCCTTGCAAATGGATGAGTCAACTGATGTCACTGGTCTGGCTATCTTGCTGGTTATCGTGAGATATCTATATGAACGTTCTTTTGAAGAAGACATGCTTATGTGTTCACCGCTGCCGACAAACACTACCAGAGAAGAAATTTTTAATAAAATAAACATATTTTTTAAAGAAAATAATCTTAGTTGGAACGATTGCATTGACATTTGTATAGATGGGGCCAAGGCGATGACAGGTAAAACAGCAGGAGCAGTATCACGAATAAAAAGTGAAGCGCCTAATTGTAGTTCCAGCCATTGTATTCTGCATAGACAAGCACTTGCGATGAAGCAAATACGTTATGGATGAAGCGGTAAAAATAATTATTTTTACCAAATCACGACCACTACAATCCCGATTGTTCTCATTATTGTGTGAAGATTATGGCAGCAAAACACTGCTGCTCCATACAGAAGTGCGATGGCTATCTCGAGGTAAAACTTTAACAAGGCTTTTTGAACTTAGAGCCGAGTTACAAATGTTTCTTTCAGCAGATACAGTTTCTTTTAATTTAAAAGACCGTTTGTATGATAAAACTTGGTTGTTCCGATTGTCTTTTATGGCGGATATCTTTCAAAAACTGAACGAATTGAATTTATCATTGCCAGGTAAACAGACAACAGTGTTCCAGGCCTATAACAAAATAACTGCCTTCAAAAGAAAATTAGATTTTTGAATTATTTGCGTTGGTAAGAGAGAAATAGAAAGCTTTACGTCACTCAGTGAGTTTGTTAGCGATAACGACTTAGTGTATGTGTTTGAAGAATTGGTCCAATATCTCACCTCGATGCGCGCATCTTTTGAAAAGTATTTTCCGGAAGAACAGAATACAAAAATGAAGCTGAATTCATGGATTCATAATCCTTTTTTACCCAACTTGCAAAAGCCCGAAAATATGTCAAACGAGATATATGAATCTCAGATTGATCAGATGATGAGATCAGAAATATCATCAGACACAAGTATGGAGTCACTGTTCAAAACGACGCCTCTCGACGATTTTTGGTGTAGAATCCTTGATGAATATCCAATGCTTGGCAGAATGCCTCTGAATATTCTTCCCCCGTTCCCAACAACATATTTGTGCGAAACAGGATTCTCAACCTATGCAGCCACGAAAACAAAATATCGCAATAGACTGGACGCCGAACCTGATATGAGACTTCAAATGTCTTCTATCAAACCTGATATCAACCAATTGATGAAAAATAAAAAACAGTTTCATACCTCCCATTAGTTAAGATTTTTTCATTTTTAATATCTTCTATTATTGTACTTGCCATGTGGTAAAGTAAGTAATAATTAGTAACTGTTACATTGTACTTTTATTATGCTTATATAATAAAGAATACACTTTTAAAAACTGTTGTTTTATTGTAGGGTTCCGTCAAGTATTTTGCTTGTCAAAAGGGTTCCGTGACCAAAAAAGTTTGAGAACCGCTGATCTAAGTAATCCATCACGGATTTCATTTCGTGTATACCACTAGATTTTTTATTAATTAAATGTACCTATGTGTGTGACCTAGTAGGAGGTGCAGAAAATGGATAAATGTAGGTGACTTAGGACCGAGTTTTGTGGTATATCAAAATGATAATAAATTGCATTATGACTTACCCATAACAATTATGTGGTATAAGTATCTATAACAGATTTAATAAAAAAGGAACCAAGAATATGAGAATGATAAATTGAATTTCATTAGTGGCTAACAACGCACGATACGGTCTTTGGGTGTTTATTACGTTTTTCATTTGATATTATATTTTCGACTGCTACTAATTTTTATTATTTTCTTAGTTATTTCAAATGATATATGAATAAGATATGATATTTAAGAATTTTGTAAACGTTTGTATCGTAAAAAAACTTTATTTCATAGTCGAATGTATCATTATGGTTTCTTATATTTACACGAATACTACACATGAAATACGAGTAAAACTAATTTTGTAGATTTTATCGCGTTTAATTTTTAATGAATGTTGAAGATGGACTTATTTTACTTAGATATTAGGATGTTAAAAACGAACGAAATGTCGGGAGTTAAAAAAAGTAAATATTAAACGCGATAAAATCCGTAAAACTAGTTTTATTCTTCGCATGTATCAACTTTATTCGTCCTTTCTTTTTTTATTTGTTAATTTCTAATAACATACAAACAGCCATTGTTTCTTTATATAAGTAGACTTTAATGGGCTGATGATGATGGGCAAGAAGACAGCAACAAAAGTACAAAGAAACTGGTAGTTCACTAGATGGTTAGTGGATACCATGGGCACCAGAAACCCACTTAGTACTGCCCAATAAGAAGGCTACTATTGAGATGTCTCGTCTGAGGATTGTAAGTCTCACAGATTGTATACGCGTTCTTTTTTTTAGTAGAATAAGGGTTACTAACGAGCGCACCTTATGGTAAGTATACGCCGTGGCCGATATACACCTACATTTACCCTCGATTAAAAATCAAAATACAGGTGCGATTTCATCCCTGATAGAATAGCCGAATTTTTGTTGCGGCGGCCAGTCTCAACTGAGATCAGCCATCTGCACAAGACAGGATTATAGTGTCCGTGTATATCCGCAAGCACAGCTGCACTCTCTATTCCCTCACTCTCATAGTCTGATGTCACGGTAACCCGACACGACCGGAGAGAAATAACGTGCACGGTTAACGGCTTTACGTGCTTTTCAGGTACCGTCTCATGGGGGCGTATCACCGCCATTTTCCTAATTTCGAGATGCCACTGAGAATTTTTTGATATAAAAGTTCAGTAACTTATTTTTTTTCCCAACCCGGGATGCGAACATGGGACTTAATGATCAGCAGCCGCATTTTACTCCTACTAGCTATTTATTATGGTCTTAAAATATTTAATGTTATTTAAGATAAATTTTAAAGATTTAGGAAAAAAACTTGTAGTAGCGATGTCGTCGCGCCACAAAGCGAAATACATCGAAGCCTGAATCGCGCTATCAAAGTTCCGAATCATAAACAGTATATATACTCGTAGAACAGCTCCGAACTATCACATGGGGCTTTGGCAGCTCCTCGGGCACAACACCTTGTCCGGCGGGAGATTTCCCCTTTTCCTTCCACCGCCACTGTGGTGACCACCCGACGTGATCTTGAACACACGCAACCAACAACCTTCGCATACCACAACTGCGAGCCTTCGTCATTATCCTCAAGAACCCCTACCATTCACTACTGAGAATCGTCTTCTTCAGTCTTCAGTTCCTGCAAGCCAGTCCAACTTGTCTTCATCTCGACTAACCGCAGATTTATAAGGCAGACTTCTGGTACTTGCTCCGGCACATCGTTCTCACCGGCATCACTTGCCAGTGCGTAGTACGGCATGCATTACACATCGACATACGAGTATCATTCGCACCGGTGTCACTTGCTCTTACGCACACAGCATGCATTCTCTACCGGCATTAAGGACGCACCGGTAATCGGACTGCACTGTCGACCTCCGGTCTAAGCAGGGAGGTGACGTGGCGACGCAGTCGTCGCGCCACAAAGCGAAACACATCGAAGCCTAAATCACGCTATCAAAGTTCCGAATCATAAACATTATAATATATAGAATAGCTCCGAACTATCATACGGAGGGTTGGCCGCTGCTTTGGGAGAACACCTTGCTCGGCGGTAGATCTACCGTTTTCCTTCTACGGTCACAAACTAATGTGAAGAATCGACTCTCCAGGAAGTCTGCAGTCTGTGAACACATACAGGAGCGCCCCCGTCACTACATTCAATTCAATTCAATTCAATTTATTTGCTATTCTTGTTGTACATTTGGTCTTATATTTAAAAAAAATGTTCAAAACAAGAACCCTGCAAGGGCACTGCAAATATAGGCAATTAGTAATATTATTATTACATTCACAATATAGTATTATAAAATTATCATTTAATGAATATTAACAATTAACTTAAATATAAATTGGATCATATTATATTATTAATTTGTTTCAATTTCCTATTTCCTACTCAATCACTAAAAAACTCCTGCATCAATTTTTTTAATGCTTTTAATGCTTCTGATTTGTTCTGGAATTTTGTTATATATTTTATTGACATGGCATAGGGACCGGTGTTTACGATTTTGTAATTTTGATGTAACTGTGGATAATTTTATTTTTGGTCATAAATTTTTAGGGCGAAAATATTGAGGGAACCAGTCGATATTATTTCTAACTAGTGAGCATATTTCGGATATATATAGGGATGTTAATGTCAGGATATTATAATTGATAAAGTAATTTCTACAACTTGTTATGGAGTCGATATTTGCAAGTATCCGAATATATTTTTTCTGAATTAGAAATACTTTGTTAGCGTCTGTGCTGTTACCCCAAAGTACCACACCGTAGCGTATCCAGGCGTCTGCGTACGCGTAAGTAGGCACAGGTTGCTGTTTTTAAGTCGGTGGTTTTTTTAAGTTCTATAGGAGCGTATGTAAATCTAGATAATTTTTTGACAATTTTATTAATGTGTTCCTTCCAATTTAAATGTGCATCTATATTTATACCCAGGAGACAGTGAGAGTTAACAGATTCTAAGGGAATATTTAGGTATTGGTAGTTGGTATGTAAGGGACGTTTGTGGTATGGTCTAAATTGCATAATTTTAGTCTTTTTTGAAATTAATCTCGAGGTTGTGATCTTGGAGCTAGCAATTTTTACATTTAAATTAGAGGTTTGGAGATGGTGTAAATTTGTGCTATTGGGACAGGGAAGAATTAATGAAATATAATCAGCAAAAAGAACACAGGGGATATTACATATATTCGGAAGGTCATTCACATGTATTAAAAACAGCAAACAGCCCAGCACGCTACCCTGGGGTATTGAGTATTTTGAGAAATTTTTTTTAGACTTTACAGTCTCTACAATTCCGGTTTGTGGGTCTCTGTAGCCTATATCTACATACTGGACGCATTGATTAAGGTAAGATACAAGCCATTCGTAGGCCAGACCTCTCACACCCACATTATAAAGTTTATTTAATAGGATCG